TATAAAAAAGGGGGTTGGGTATAAAGCATTAGTAGTTACAGCAGTCAATCTCTTTTATTAAAAAAATAAGGAAGATATAATATAGAGATGAATACTCTGCATTGGTATAGATCTTAGTCTATTGATACAAATTTAAGGTCAATTTTGTTATATATATATCTATATATATGTTTTCTTTATTTACAGTTCATTTAAAATGTAATGTATAATTAAAAATTTTAGTTTAATAGGTAGTCATTTATAATAGTAAAACTTGCAATTATGTTGGGTTTTTGATATATAGTGATATATTTCAGTTAGATAATTTTCAATACTTCAAAGACCTACAGAGTATGGCATTTAAAATGTTTTAAGAACTTAGGACTTTTCATGACAATGAGACACTCTGCTCCTGGCACTGCCAATAACTTCAAGAGGATGATGAACATCAAAGAGGCTCCTTATGGAGTTTGGTAGCCATTTGGGTAAGAAACTGCTCTTGCCTGGACTGCTTGGTGGTATGCTATATGAACTGGACATGCAGGACCCATAGAAAAATGACTGCTGAAATGGCCTAAAGGTGAGACAGTCCTTTAGGGTTCCTGCTTCATGAAAGAAACTGTCAGACACTCTGCAGGACATAGAAGAAAACAACTGCTGAACATTGCTAGTACAAGGCAAAACAGATCATCAAATTTCCTGTTTCGCTGAAAAGTTTGTCTGATATTATGGTCCTGTAGGTTGAAGATAGATGCTTCAGCATTACGGAAAAACTTTAAGTGAGTTTCCAGGCAGCAAAATGTCTTTGTCAATTCTATGGTTTTGGATGATGGCTACAATGAGCTTCCTGTTTACTTAGGCAATATTATCCTTATGGGGTCTTTGATAGAGCTGAAGAATAGATAGTTATAGCTTTCCTTAGTTATGACAAAAGATAAAGTAGCTATAAATACTGTAACTGTAATTCTTATTTGATAGCTGTATTGTTATATGTAATTTTACTATTTCAAAGTTAAAATTTATTTAGACAAAAAAGGGGAGGTGATGTGGGATTCCCTTCTGTATGCTGTGAATATGTTTTATTACCATTGGTTAATACAAAGCTGCTTTGGGCCTGTAACAGTGCAGAATATAATAAGGCAGAGATAGAAAAAAAAGAAGGCAGAGTTAGAGAGACACCATGCAGCTTCCAAAGGAGAAAGATACATCGCCACCAGCCAGAACCTGCTTGGAAACTACAAGCCTCATAGTGAAATAGAAAATAATAGAAATGGGTTAATTCAAGGTGTAAGAGATAGCTAAGAATACGCTAGACCAAGCAGTGTTTAAATTAATATAGTTTCTGTGTGATTATTCTGTAAGGGTGGATTGGAGCAAATGAGTAGCCTCCATCTAAACAGAAGAGGAGGAAGAAGGGGAGGAGGAGAAGAAGGGGAGAGAGAGAGAGAGAGAGAGAGAGAGAGAGAGAGAGAGGGAGGGAGAGAGAGAGAGAGAGAGAGAGAGAGAGGAAATGAATTTCAATGTGGAAGTGAAAAGAATTCTGGGATATATTGTGCGGGAAGGGTAGATATCATTTAATATAAATTGTATTAATGGATGAAATCAGAAAGCAATGCATGTGCAATTATTTGAATAACTAAAAGTGTTTTAGAATGAGTGATGGGTATTGACTATTATGTGAACTCATGCTGAAATTAAGGGATATAATTATCCCCTTTTCATCCTGGAGGCCATGTCTGTCATGGCTATACCACACATAGAGAAAGCTGTGGTCATCTTTATGGATATGTGAACTTGACAAGAGAACAGGTCTCTATCTGCTAATAATAATTAATTCTAATGGAAATGAAATAAAGAGCAAGCATCATGATTCTTGAATTCAAGGTTAGTAAAAGTTCATTTCTTAAAGCTTTTCTGATTTGTTTTCAAAATTCCAACTTATAGGAGATAAAGTATACAAACCTTAGTTGCTTACTTTCAATTAACCATTCACTTTGTGGACCATTCTTTTAAATGTACTGAAAAGTAGCCTTGCCCTTCCTTTCTTTTCCTTCAGAAATAGCCGCATAGACATGACCACGCCATAGAATGGCTGTACTGAATAGATTGATCACTTCTGGCATAGGAGAGTCATCAGGGATGTAGCCCCAGAGAGGCTGTTTCCACACACATGGAAACAGGTTGCACTAAGTAGTCAACAGATATTAACTTTGGGGAGAGAGAGAGAGAGAGAGAGAGAGACAGAGAGAGAGACAGAGAGAGAGAGAGAGAGAGAGAGAGAGAGAGAGAGAGAACTCATCTGTCTTTAACTGCTAAGAATTCTGAGCTGGAAACCAAATTCAGCAAGAATGGTCACTTTGTATGTGTTTGAAACTTATAGTATAGCATAGGATAGGACTTTACCCACCTATCCTTTACCAGGAAAATAGATAGAGTGGGTTTTTTTTGAAGTATAATTGATCAGGACTTGATGGAGGTGGGTCTTGTAATAATAAAGAAACTGTCTTGGCCCTCATAGGACAGAAAATTAGGTAGGCGGAGTAGACAGAATAGGATGCTGGGCGGAAGAGGAAGTGAGGTCAGACTCTGCTCTGCTCCCAGAGAGAGCCGACAGCTCGGGAGCAGAGACGCCATGCTCAGCTCTCCCGGAGAGACTCGACAACTCTGCTCTCTGGAGCAGAGACACCAGGATGGACACCAGCTAGACTCTTCCCGGTAAGCGCACCTTGGGGTGCTTACAAACAATCATTAGAAATGGTCTAGTCCAGGTGCGAGAATTAGCCTGTAAGGGCTAGAGTTCATGGGCCAAGCAGTTCTTAAATGAATACAGTTTGTGTGTTGTTATTTCGGGCATGAGCTAGCCAAGTGGCCGGGGTGTTGGGGACGCAGCCCCGCCGCTCTTATTTCAACAGATGGCACCCAGACGTGTGGACAACTGAATCCACAAAAAGCCTGAGAAAGCTTGGGAAAGAGTAAAGCATGTTTGTTTTCTTGGTAGCAGAAATTTTTCGGGTCT